TGTTTACTCAACGTTGTTGAACTTTGACCTTTTGAATACTTTGTGACGTAATTGAACTTTGGTCTTTTGAATTTTTGTGTAGATAAGAGGATACGTCACAAAACTGGACTGAACCTGCATGGATTTATTGAGAATGATTACGTTAGTGTTAGAAGAGTTCAAATTTTATCATTGTCTGCTTTGAATAACATACTTTTTTATTTCATTATTTCATTTACAGTTTTATTGGTAATTAATGAAACACATTAAAAGAAGTAATTTTATTTGTATATGGAGTATAATGTACAAGTAGATACACAGGTTACCTTAAAGTCGTATTTACAGGTTTATTTGTCTTCATCATCATAATTGTTCCATGCAAACAAAATTGAGTTTTTTCCCCACATCTGATAATGTCCACCATAATAGTCGATGGAATTTAAGCCTTCAACTATACCTATGGAATCTTCAGTTTCGTTATTAACATAGATAATAAATTTCATTTTTTCTTTTCCTTCTTCATATGTATGTTGTTGCATCATTACAGAAGATATTCTGTTTATTTCTGCTGTAGAATCAATATCACAATTTAAATTATCACACGGAATCATTAATAAGTTAATATGAGGTGTAAACTCAGTTTTACTCAAACAAATGGGTACAATACTAGTTTTATCAAGTGTGAAAACATTAATGGATAAATTGTTAAGTTTTTCAAATTTATTGATATCCTTCAATTGAATTGGAAAATTAATTCCTTAATACTTAAGGATCCTACTAAAGTGTGTTTACGATGTTGTTCTATTTGGATTTTTATTGAACGGTGAAGGATGTAGTGCAGCTACAACTGACCATAGAAAACAGAATTTATCGTTATTTTGAATATTGATAACTGATTTTGAATTTTTAATAAATGAAGGCGTTTCTACATATGTTGAAATACCTACGTTAATTGGAGCATAATTGTTAATATTTATTTTAAGTTGTATTATTTCATAAAGAGCCCATCCTGACTCCCGTTCTTGAAATTCCTCTAATTTTGTTAATATTTTGTTTTTAATGTTTTCATTGTACCAATCTTTTAAATTTGAATTGTGATCTATAACGCTATTTCTAGTTGTAAAGTGTTTAATTTCAGTCTCACCATTTTGAGGTTTTATAAAATTGCCATAAAAGATTGCATTTACCTTTAAAATAGACTGTCTTAAAGAATTTTTAACTTTTAAAGCGAAACTTTTGTAGGCTGCATCTAAAAATTTAATCGGTTCCTTAATTTTATAATTTACAATGCTACCAGTTCTAATTCTTCCTCTAAAACATGAATCTAGGTCTACCCATTGTATATTTCTATTTTTAGTTTTTTTTGATTTATTCACATTTGAATCAAGTTCATATTTAAATTTATTCTTATAAAACTTTAACATTGCCAAATTTGTTTCTAACTGAAGCTTATTTCTAATATTATCTTTCTGTTTTATAAGTTTTTTTACTAACCGAATATTTTTATTTAAAAGTTTAATGAATTTCGTATATTCATCCTTAGTTTTAATTAATGTACCAACTTTTTCTATTTTCTTAATAAAATTCTTAAGTATAATATTAGCTTCCATTACGAATTATAAAAAGTATCTATTATTTTATTCCTGAAGATCCAAATCCACAATTTGACCTATATGTATTATCTAATGATGAACATTCAACAATTGTTGGATATGATATTTTTTCACAAATTAACTGAGCTATTCTATCACCTATCTCTATTACAAATTCTTTATTAGAATAATTAAATAATAGTACCTTAATTACACCTCTGTAGTCTTCGTCAATAACACCTGCTCCTACGTCTATAGAATGATTGACTGCTAGTCCAGATCGTGGAGCAATACGACCGTAATGACCAATCGGTAGTTGAACTTTAATTCCAGTATCAACGAGAGTTTGACCACGAGCAGGAACTTTGTAACTATAGGCACTTCTCAAATCGATACCTGCAGCGAAAGGTGTTGCTCTGGTGAGAGGTTGACTATTGTCTGTTAATTTAACATATTTTAAAATGGGAGAATCCATGATACTATAATAAATACAAAAACTATAAGCATGCAATAAAAGTAAAAATTAAAACAAAAATCACTACTTACCTACAGTTTCACTTGTAGGTTTAATAATTGCCAGTAGTAGTAGGTGTGTATTTGCAGACACAGAAGTGNCTGTATTTAATGTATATTTTAAATGGAAGCGTGTTAAATTTATAGTTGTATTTTATGTGATAAAAGGTGAAGGGATCATCAGTAGATAAGGTTAAAAGTTCAATTAAATGTAGATAACGAAATGCATTTTGATGGTTTCAAGTGGAAATTGCAACAAAGTAATAAAATGAAACTTGCGAAAATGTGAACTAAACAATTTGATATTACAACAATGGCAAACGTACCGTGTACATTACTTTTGAAATCTACTGATACTTCGATAGTAACACCTGACGCTGTCTACGTATGTAGCAGATAAACAAATGTTCAAGTAAGTACTTTATTGTTTTCTTTTTATTAACAATAAGTATTATTTAAACGAATGAAACGTTGAATTCATAAACTCAATTTCATTGTATTTATAGATTTGGAGTTAAAAGTATTGAAAAAAGAGAAGACGAAGTAATGGTTAAGCTATTATACACCCCGAGAGCTCATACAATGCTTAAAAAATTAGGCAATTTACCCATTGCATATTTAAGATTAGCGGTGGAGGATGATTGTGAATTACATATACTAAGAAATCTGTATCAACGCTATACATTTAATTTAAAGGATGATGAAGGAGAAAGTTTACAAATGGTGAAAGATAGTACAGAAGGTAGGCTAATGATAAGTGATGGAAGAGAAACGGAGAAAATCGTGATGCAGCAGCAGCAGCAGCAACCACCACAGCAGACGTCGATAAGTGAAAAAAGAAAAGTAAATTTTGTATTTCCAAACAACGAAGAAAAATGCAACAAAAAAAAATTATTGGAAAGTAGGATGAATAAACCATGTTCAACAATGACGCAGAAGCAGCCGCAATCGCCACCAAACGAATTAGTAGAAGTGTATGATGATGATGCATTTGATTTTAACAGCCAAAAATATTCATTGCAAGAATTGTAATTTGTTCGTAATTGAATAATAAAAAATGTTTTTAGTTGTTAAAATTATTTCCTGTGTAAAAGTTTTATCACGTAAATAAAAAACACAAGAAATAATTCATATTGTTTATTTGTTATTAAACTTATATACGTTTTGTTTTTTTATTTCACATTAGGAGTATTCAAAGGACTATTAGGTAGCTTTTCGTGACACATTAAGTTTTTTCTGAACCTCTTTCGCTCACTTTTTACTTCATCAATTCCATGCTCAGTTCCATTCTGTTGTTTTATATTTTCCTTTTGGATAATAATCGTTGTGTAACAAAACATTTTTTTACATTTGTTAAATTCAATGCTCATTATTTTTAAAGTGAACAAAAAGAAATTAATTATTTCGATTTCGGTTGTTAATTCTGTTAATAAGGGTATTAACCTTATCATTAAGAAAGGTAGACAAACAGTGTTTGAATCCTTTACGTTTAATTCCTCAAAAGAATGCATGAAATACAACGTTCATTTATGACATCAGTTTCCCCTTTACAAGAGGGACAGTTGTATTTTACACCAACAGGCATTATAATTAAAAAACAGTGATATAGTGTTCACTGTTCTTTATTAATTAATGAAGTGGTAATTACAGTCAGATACTATTTTTGTTATAAGCTATGTTGTTGTTGCTTGCACAATTTGTCTTGTAGTCTTTTTTTCGGTGATCGACATGAACTTAAACTGATTGCAAATTTACTCTTCTTATTTTGAGACTTTTCCTCTCTCTCTATACAACCACTGATGTTTTGGCGTATATTTGACTGACTAATTTCTTGCTTTTCTATTTCGTTTTCCATCAATTTCAATTTGTCATAACAATTAGTTTTGTCTGATGTAAGTACTCTTATATCACGTTGTAATATTTTATTCTGTTTCTCTTATCTGGTAATGTTCTCTCTGTATTCATTGATTACATTGATCATTGCTTGTTCATGCAAATCATAACGTTTAATTTTTTCCGTTAACGTTTTGTTTAAATTTAAAATTGATACTTCCAGTTCAATGTTCCTTTTAGATTCATCGTTATCAGCATCGCCATCAGTGGGGGTATTATAGCGTTTCTGGATAGTAGTGGGGATGATTATTTATGGTGTTATTATCTCCTTTCTGCACATGCGCGGGGCGTGGCTTTTGTATTTTTATTTCTGATTGGTTGTTTTTTTTTAGAGGAGGCGTGGCTTGTGATATCTCTCGACCAATGAGCGTTCGTTCTTTTGGATAGGAGTGGGGGTATGACCCGTATATGGTATTATTTTTCCCTTATGAGCATGCCGGGTGTGGTTTGTGTGTGTTCTTGTTTTCTGATTGGTTGTTGTTTTAGAGGGGGAGTCGTGGCTTGTGATATCGTTCGGCCAATGAGAGAACGCGAGCGCTCGTTAATATTGAAAAACGAAGATGTTGTCGTCCTGGGAAAATGACTGTTGCGGCGGCGGCGGTCATAGCTGAGGCGTGAAATATGAATATGTGTGATAAGTGATAATGATTGTACTATTGTTTGTTTTTTTTTTTGCAGAGTGGGGTGGATCATCTATTTTGAACTCTTTCCTTATTGTAATGATTATAAAAACATGGATGTTCCTGGAATTGTTGGTGTTTCTCTTTTTAAATTAAATATTTTGACATATTATTTTACGCGCAGTAACGGCTCCATAACGAACGTTATCTAATTTTTTTTAAAATTGTTTATATACAGCATTTGAGATCTTATCTGCTTTGTGTTTGCGGTTATAGTAAATTAAATTAAACTTTAGCTTTCATTTAGATTATAATATTTTTTATTTACATATAGGTATAATACAAAGTAGACCATCGAAGTGTTCCAGTTACTACATAGCTATACTACTAGTGGTGTCTTATAAAACCAAAAATTATAGGAACTGACTATTGTTGTTGTTGTAGTATCTCATATGAAATACTTTTGGAACGAGAAACACATGTGCGTCTTACGTGTCATTCATGAAGAAAACAAATGGTGATTATAATTTGTTTTTATAATTCGTGTTTCTCTTGAAAAAAAAAAAAAAAACTTCTTAAACTATTTTTTTTACATCGCCAGTCAGCGGTGAATATTCAATTAATCTATCGTGTAGCAAAAGACAATATGATGATGTATTATTGGGGAGAGCAGTTGCAGTTTGAAATTCAATCTTGACATCAACTGGTCCAGTTTTAAGGATTTCATTCTGATATGTACAATCGACCACCACAACTGGCGCTATTTGTTTAAATTTTGTTATATCTAACAGAGGTAACGGGTTACAGCCATAATATTTCTCTTGAAATTTCGAGTACATGTGATATAATAAAGCATACCGATTTTCTACATAGGAAACATTTAGATTTTCATATGGATATACTTCAGAGTTTAAATACACTTTTAAATTATTAAGTTGACAGTGATCAAAGTTACTAACATCAGCATTTTTTTTGTTTTGCTTGTCAGTTTGTAATGCGAAAAGAATAAATCTTGGTTTTTCCATTTGAGTACTGGTTTTCACCCGCCATACAATGTTGGTGGTGTTTGGTAGATTTGGATATTCGTATAAATCCCAACTGCGGAAGCCTATCGATATTGGTCTAGAGCTTTTCATAAATTGGTATAATTTAAGACGTGCGGTGTCGCTAAGAGTAATATGA